CATATGTAGCTCCAGAGGGTTTGCAAGGCGAACCACTAATGCAAAAAGTTGATATCTACGGGTTTGGTGTGATAATGTGGGAGGTGGCGATAGAACAGAGACCTTACGACGGTCAAAATTTTGATATCGATTTATCTATTAAAATTTGCCGAGGAGAACGACCTAAATTTGATTCCAATATACCGAAATGTTATGCAATGCATGGATTCTACTCCTGAAAAACGACCTAATGCTTATTATATTTCAACCCAATTATATGAATAGACTTATGAATCTTTTTTGCAACAATTCGAAGAAGCTGACTTGAATCTTCAAAGCATCCAGATCACATGTACACCAGCAAAGCGATCAATACACGAGAGATCACTGAAAGGTTATCAAAGATAGTCGTCAGCAAACTAGTGGAAAGTATAGAAATTTATGATGATATGTGATCATTATTATTACCGGTGTTATGATTATTATTATTATTATATTAAATCTTGACTATAACATATACTGGCAAAAAATCTTCTGACTTACAAGTGGCATAATTTCTAGATAATAATCTTAATAATTGTAAATAAAAAAAAACTTCTGACTATACCATCTAATAATAAATAACTAACTAATATAGATAATTTCAAGCATAAACTTATATATTTTTAATATAGTTCGAGATAATTATAATTACAATACTATATTACAATACACTGAACAAATTCAAAATAAATTCTTTGAAATAAAAAATTATTTAAGCTTAAAAGCAGAACAAGATATATGACTTTTTTATCAAGAACTTGATTTTTATCTTATTCCAACTAGAAAAAATTGGAATTGAAACCCTTATACTGTATTAATAAATATGCAAAATTAACACAATTTTTTATTAATTTTAGTTAAAATAAGAATTCAACATAAATTGGATTCAACTATTCATCCTCCAATGATATATATCAACTTCTTACATGATAAAGGAATGCGTACTTTTTGAATGAATTAATTTTATTATCGGTTAGATTTTTAACTGGACCTTTCGGTTATGACTGATCATAATTGTAAATCATTAATTCTAACTAAAAAAGATGCCACCACATGAGTTCCATGTTGTTTACTTAAAAGGATCGTTCATACCTCTGTTATTCAATTCGTATATATAATTGTAATAACAGATAAACTTTCTTTTGTGAATTAGAGAAATCGTCATAACAATAGCAAAAACATTAGCAAAAACAATAGCAATATAAATATCGATAATTGAATTTAAATTTATATACTGTATATATACACTTATTTTTATTTAATCTCTAATATAACACCAAAGGAAAAAGAAAATTTATATTAATTAAATAAAACTATACCCTAATTTTTTTTTCCTCCTTTTTGTATAGATTGATTATCAAATTCGTTGTCTAAAAGATTAATTAATCATCATCCTTAATATTAATCTCAACGTTTCAATATTATCTCTACAAATACCATATCAATCTTATTGATCTTTGTGCGTTCTAGAAGTGAGAGGTAACCTATCATGATCATTATTATGATTTTCCTCTTCATCACTATCTCCAAAATGATCAATATCCTCCGAATTTAGTGGAGTTTCGATAACAAGTTCCGCCCTATTTTTATTGATAGTAATTTTTTAATATGAATATTATCGATATAATAATTATACTATAAAAGATCAAAATATAGAATTCTACGTACATTTCACTGTCTGAACTCTCTACAGAGGCTTTCATTGTTTGACTAACACTTTTCCTACGTCTAAACCTTCCACGAAATACAAAGACAGCCAAAGCAATAACACCACAGATAACGACGATAAGTGTAGCAGTCCCCCTGATGTTTTTTAAACAAAAAATTAATAATTATTGTGCAGTTTATTTAAATGACAATAAATTGAAGACTTACGCATTGTAATATCGATTCAATACATCATTATCCCAATCATTATAAATTGTGCCATTTGCGCTCGGAGTTGTAGCAACGTTATCTAACTAGAAAATAGTAAAGAAATTCTTATAAATAAAAATTTAAAATCATGACATTATTTATAAAGTTAATAAAAATAGAATTTTTACCTCAGATCCAAATTTGAATGAAAATTTTGTCGTAATATGTTTATCTAGCCCAATAAACCAATACATCATGGCCATACTAGCACCTGGGTGGTCATAAGGTACCATATGACTAGCATTATGAACTACTACGAATGTGAGATTTCGTTCTGATATCATATGCCCAGCACGTTTATCATTGACAAACCAGGGGTTTTCGGTAAGATTCTGTGTACAATAATACGACAAATAAATAAATAAATAAATAAATTGTAACGATGTATCAATATAAGCATCAAAA